TGGTGGAGAATCTTTTGGGCACCGCTCCAAACTCATCCCTCCTGACACGCCCTTTCTTAGAAAACGGAGCGAATTAGAGTATATTCAGATTGTGCGTCGCGGTCTAGCGGTCGTAATACATGCATCTCTCGGAATGCTGCTTGAGACTTACGAAATGACTAATTCTTGCATTCTCGTAGCTTACGATAATCGTACAGTTTTGTTGTTACAGGTCTTTGTCGCGATTGGAGCCACTGAATTGCTAGATATGAACGGGCTCTCATTTGGTGAAGCTTTTACTTATTTCAAGCCACTAACCTCGAAGGACTTGTTGTACCGAGCTCAAAAACGTCAACTTCACCACGTGTCCCATACGCGACAAAGACCTGTAACAACAAAACTGTACGATTATCGTAAGCTACGAGAATGCAAGAATTAGTCATTTCGTAAGTCTCAAGCAGCATTCCGAGAGATGCATGTATTACGACCGCTAGACCGCGACGCACAATCTGAATATACTCTAATTCGCTCCGTTTTCTAAGAAAGGGCGTGTCAGGAGGGATGAGTTTGGAGCGGTGCCCAAAAGATTCTCCACCAGTTGTTGAAGCAAGCAAGTGACAAGACAGTATCAATTCGTGTATCACTCATTTCTACGGACTGTTATCGCGAACCCGCTTCTACGCAGCAGAGAATAGTATGGCGGCTGTGGCGCACTCATACTGCCTGGCACACACCTGAATTCGCAGCGAACCAGAGTATACCTCGACTGTGGCCGCGTCCCAACATTCCCAGTAAGTACACACTCCAAGAACAGTAATATCCTAACAGGAAAAATCAGCCGTCGATCCACTGACACCTCTCTTCAACCCGGGAGTGTCACCTTGCCATCACCTGCTCTTGTCCCAGCGACCTTCTGGTCGAACGCTCCCATCCACGTTAACCCTGGAATACTAACTGTAAAACATAATCTACCTCCGGCGGTGTCTGCATGTACGGTGATGATAGGGGATTCGACCATAACCGCAGTGGTAACAGTCCATGTGGCGTTTTCCATGCGTTGACTTCCACTTTGAATCTTAAGAGCGACCAAATAATTTAGATTTAGATTTATCGCATGTGTGTCAACACATGAGAAATGAGCAACGGGTTCCTAATTTATAGAAGAACAATTTTGAAAGCAACTGTAAGCTCAATGAGAGAATAAATGAAATTGGACCAGTTACTCTGCATAAACATGATTTTTTTAGCATTTCTACATCATGATGTTTACTATGTATCTACAACTGACGTTCTATTCGAACTGACACAATCAAAGAACGGAGCTCGTGCGACGGGTAATTAGGGATGAAGGTCACCAGATAATTATGGTAGGGGCTGATCAAGAAAGCCGCAGTGGGATTTGACTAGATAATTGGGACCAAATGAAACCAGAGAAAATATCTATGATGGTCCGAAATCATTATCCGAGAAAGAAATCCTGCGGCAATTTCTCGACGGTAGGCATTTTGCACTCTTGCTTCCATCGACGTGTCGAGCCATCTAGACAGTGACTTCATGAGCTGACAAGGGTAGAAAGTTTTACCGTGGTATCCTGGACGAACTCACTCCAGCTTCACAAGGGTCGCAGTTTTCACTAGACTAGCGAAGCAGCGAAAATGCAAAATGCCCCCCCCCCTCTCGCCGAGCTGCGTCAGAAATTCTTCCCATGAATGTCCTGGATGCACGATCAGGTTGTTTCAATAAGTGCAGTCTACTAACAGAAGAGCGTATTAGTATGCTCGCTGAGGCATAACTGCACAGCCTCTCTGAAGGTTGAGGTCACGCTCCGCATCAAAATGGCTCTCGTAATTGGTCAAGGCTGGTCAGCGACAAACTAATTGACTGTTCATTATGATGACTTAGTTGCAGATGGCAAGGATTTTTTGCTTTGACAGCCTGCTCGCGCTTGGGCTGCCATGATTGCCTGCCTGACCTGTGACCTGGCTAAGGCTGAACTTCTGATTCTTCGTTGCCGTCCGATCACTACAAAAGTCAATCATCTGTCGAAGGGGGAAAAGGGGGTATTCCTCATCAAGTATAGCAGGGATTTTGACGAACCGTCCGTTTTTCGCGCAATAATCACTTTTAGCAGCGCGCTTTATAACTGGTCTTTTGTTCGGATCATTAGGAAGTTCTTGGATGAAATTTCTGTGGGTTAATCTTGCTTACAGAATTACCCACGAGGTCGAGGTTGTCAAAGAACATACCGCGCGTTCCAGACTGGTGATTTGTGCGGCTCAAATACTATCATCAAGGTGGTAAATACCACAAGAAAAAAAAACACTAGAATCCGCTCCAAGTGCCCAATATAAGATCCCATGCTGAACCGCGTTTGAACGTGCATAAGTGGTCGGCAGAGTTTTCACTTGCTGGCGCCAGCTCTTTCCCTATCACCTCAATCTTATCATTCGAAATGGATAGCGTCGGTAGCGGGGCAATCGCATCATCCGGCAGCACTCAAAAGTGAATGTTGGGCATCGCCGTGGTCTGTGAGCGGAGCCGCGGTTCCATCGCGAGCGAGAACGCTTTCATGGCGTATTTTTAAGCTGCAAAAGTGTTAAACCCTACGTGCAGACAGGAATACCATGTCCAAAGAAGCACCAGAATACCAACCCGTACCACTTGATCACTACTCCTAAAAATATAGGGGGGGAGGTATTAAGAACAGTGTCAGACGGCTCCACTGTTCGGAAGGATGCCAACCTGCCGCAACGTTAGCTAATAAATGCTGCTAGCAACGTCCTAAGTCCCATAAACAACAGAGACACAGAACAAGATAGCGGAGTCCGTCAAAAGCTGAGCGTGGGGAAGATCTCGAAACTTTTCTTATAATTTCCCTCAAATAAGGTACAGTTGTTTATCGAAACAGCTACTGCTTTCAAGACTCTGCTTGAGTAGCTTTGCTATGGCTTTGCCTTCTTGTTGTCACGAGTTTAATATCATCACATCCTTCGAAGCTTCAAGCGTATTTGTTTTCCGAGCAAGCCTCCTAGCGCTTGATTTTCATACTAAACTAAATTAAGAGAATTGAAGCATACACAAGGAGGGGACTTTTGATTCAATGTCTGCCACAGACTGCTCTAGATAAAAAGGAACAGGGAATTTGGACCCGCCTTTAAAGACACATAGTACGCTCAAACACATTGAGGGTGTATGAGACTATCAGCCCCCAGCTGTCGATGTGTCGTGGTCCCCCCGCTCCAAACATGCCCAGGAATGGAGATACAGGACCGTGGGAAAGGCTTATTCCTTGCTACTCCGCCCAAAATTCACCGCGCGCGAGTTGCATTTCGCCGCGCGCGCGGTCCACGGAATTGCTTGAGCGGCAGTAGCAAGGGACATTAAGCCTTTCCCCCACGGTCCTGTATCTCCATTCCTGGGCATGTTTGAGCGGGGGGACCACGACACATCGACAGCTGGGGGGCTGTTAGTCTCATACACCCTCAATGTGTTTGAGCGTACCATGTGTCTTTAAGTGCGTCTGTTTGCTTCGCCCATAGGGCAGACAGCCAGATCCTAACTACACAATAACCAGTCATAAATTGTTGAGCAATGAGAACACTCACCTGAGATCCCAAAGCATGAGCTCGTTATTCGTACTACACATCACCATCCAGTTCTCCATGATCGGATCAACAACGAATGAGGTCACGAAGCTTGATACTTACAGCTCCATGAAATATCAGCTTGCAAAAAGCTAAACAGAAGTATGAAGGATTAAAGATCTAAATAGATCAAACCAAAACCAACCAGTCCATGGTATTTCACTACCTCACGTCTCCAAACCTCATGGAATCCTAGTGAGCCGTTCGTTTTGCCAACTCTAAACACAACATCGGCATTATGGCGTAAGCTAACAATTGGGGGCTGATTCTTCACGAAAAAATTTGTGTTGGGGAAGTGCGAATAATTAGCCTTCAGCTTCAGGAACTTCTAGTTATCAGGGCCTGCCATGGAAACTGATAATTTACTGACAATGACTCCCGTCTCCTCGACTAGTTTCTCTCCCAGAGAATCGCGTCATTTTTCGCCTCATGTCGCCACTTTATGCCCTATCCATACCCAGATCCTATACTACCAGAATCACTTTGCTGAATCTCTGGCCTTTTTTGCGGCCGGCCGCACTAGCGAATCCATCAGGCTGCGTTCATACTTTGCGACTCGGCATTTCGGGAGAATTAGCGCATCGAGTAAAAAGGAAAGCATAGGCATGGATATGGCGTTTCGGGGAAATTAGCGGTTGAACGAATAAGCGTTTTCAGTGAATAGGCGTTTCTAGCGAAAACGACAGCATGGGTATCGACCGGTCCCTAAACCACTAATTCGCTTAAAAGCTGATTCTCGCGAAGAACGTTGTCGCAAAAAACGCAGTCTCGCTCTCATATTCTGTTTTATTTTATTTCACACCCTTTTTTTGACTCAATCCATAATATTTTGATGAGTTCACTCTTTTACTTCATGGGGTCAAATAAACCAACGGTCAGTAAGAATATAAATATCTACTCAGCAAAATGTATTACAGCTACGATTACTAGTTTACAGCTACGATTACCTTAGATCAAGACAGTAAATTGCACCATGATGGCTTCGAAGATACGTGACGTTATTGGACACATGGATCTGTTCCGGCGGTCCCTCGAGCTTAGGTAATCGAACCTGAAAGTAATTCAAAATTGCTATAATTCAGTCAACTGCATTTTTCCAGCTCATTCAATTGAGGTTATCCCTGAATAGCATCAATAGCTGAATTTGCACACGTTATTCCTAAAATAAGTACGAATAGCGCCTAACCCTGAAAAATTGATGTGCGATGTTCCTTGTTTCCGATCACATTTATCTGAGAGGTGTCGTGAAGACTAGGTACTGTCAAATATCCCGTATGAGTAACTCAGCCTCCACCTCTGTTTCTGAAATGATACGAATGAACTCCAACCTTTGTTACTATTCGTGGCTCGCTTGTTGCACAGTCGACCCAGAGGACATGACCGTCGCCGATAGCTGCCGCGATGATTTCATTGCTAGCCCAGCCGATTGATGGAATTGGGTAATCTACAAATGGAGTGACTTGTTCATCGACAAACCAGTCAATAGGAATCAAATCAATCAACACTCTACACGCATTAAAGCAAATTGTTCCTTTTCGGCTGGAGTCGCTAACATGTCAGCATTTCGATGAAGTACTGCTATCATGGAGGATATTCAAAAGACTTGCGATAGTGAAAACTTACTTCTGTTATACAAGAAGGAGGCATCTGATCTAACAGATGGTGTGGGGCCATCTCCGACAACATTTCGCGAATTCCACAACAGCACGTAGCCATCAAGGGATGCCGAGGCGAATCGAGCTCGGTCTGGTTGTGCTGCCAGTCTGAAATTCGCTACAGCGCATTCAGAGATGGAAAAACATTGAAAAAGTAGTATGTCGACAAAATTAAAAAGCGATTAGAATGCAATGACATTCCTTCGAAAAAAAAACTGACTGGGTAACTTTATCCGTGTGCTCGTGTAAATGTGTCAGTAACGTACCCGTGACCTTGGAATTAGAGAGTCCTGGTCTAGAGCTTCTGGAAGCAAAAATATATTAAAAATGCTGTAGCAAGCGATGATAAATAATACAAATAATACTTGGAACTGTAAGAACTGGTGACAGTCTGTTAGATGCTCTTAGCCGAAAACAGATCGCTATTTTTCATAGTAGAAGTAAGAATGAAAGGAAGGGAAGCATTAGTTTGTCTTTCTCATTCAATACCCACGGACATCTGCATGTACTGTAAGGAAATCACGGTAAATAAATTTTGCTCAAACGCACACTCTGCGTTATTTGATGTTAAGACCCCTTCTTCGGAAAGAGTAGCCCTGCCTGCGAACATGGGGAATGTACTGCTCGGCTCGCGACGCAACCATGACTCCGCCCACGGGCCACGGCGGTACCCAACTTCCCTTCTTGACCGCTACCGAATGGTGCGGTTGTTCCGCTACTAACTCCCTCCATTTCGTATGGTGATAATGAGGTGATAAGAAGTAGAGCTGAAGCCATCAAGTGAGAACTCGTCCGACCACGCCCCTTCCTCGCCTTAAACATGTACAAAGGCGGTTTGGCATGGGGTTCTATAGGGATCACTTCCAGTGGGTTTTCAGTGTTTTTTTCCTTTCGTTTTTGTGCTATTTGCCATCTTATCACTACTATGTAAGCTGCACAAGTGTGTGGGATTTTCGAAGCAAAACTAGAGATAATAGCAGAAAACTTGGAAGAAAATATGGGTGTAAAGATGAAAGGTGGTGTCTAAGAAACAGTGACCACTAGAAACGAATTTTGAGCGTGGCTATGAAACACTGAAGTTGAAACCAAAATTAAACAGAAGTAAAAATTCCACAGTTTCTCGGTCAAAAACAGACCAGCTCATTTCCTTAAAGGTTCAGCTTCTCACCTTCTCTGACCACCTGAACCGAGTTTTTTGTGGAACAGCTCGTTTTTATGCTGTAGTAACTCAGCTAATTGCGCTCCGCATACTGACGTTCGCACTGAAAAATAGGTTGATATCTATATACTTCTAAATAGATAAAAAATAGAGGAAAAAAGTGCCCAGTGGACAGATCTTGAATATCTTTGCATGGTACGCGAAACAGCTAAAGAAAGCGACGGCTAGAACATCCAAGAGTGAAAAAAACATAAACCAGCTGAAGGGGTGAACTATTGCCATGGGGGATAAGCGTAGATATGTAAGGTCACAGGGAGAAAAGGGCGCCATGTGATCGATAAAACGTAGACAAGAGCAGAAAATTGACGCGTCAGGAAAAAGAGGCTGCCGTCAAGTGTTTTATAGACCGTTTTTCAAAACGAGAATGATCCGCTGAGAATCTCAATTTCAACGCTCCCAAGTTCAAAGGGTCGGAAATAGACACAAACATTTCACAACCGCCTAGATCGGCGACTTTCAATCGAACCGACATTTCGCTAACATCGTGACTTTCCCATATATGAAGGCAAATGGCACGATTGCTGGAAGCAGGCAGTTGTTGCCAGCGTCACTGGTGGAAGGGCTGAAAAGGACATTCGGCCAAACTGCCCAAGGCTTTGCGGAGGTGCAGCCGACGCCCTCCCACTAATGACGCTGGCAACAACCGCCTGCCTCCAGCAATCGTGCCACCTGCCTTCAACTCTACAAGAGCTTCTTTGCGCTGGTAGACCAAATTTTCCAGTTCAAATGGGGGACACCACTACCTCCACTCACTTACTTGATCTAGTCTGCATGAGCAGGTGTGCGGCATTGCGCTCTTCTGACGACTTCTCATCATTGATCTGTTCAGTATCACCGAACATTTCATTCCATTCACTATTCATATCTGCTGGAGCGATCACCTTAAAATGCAGATTCAAACGGCCCCTCCCACAAAAAAATAGAATCTTATCTTCACCTTAGTTTGCGAAATGCTGCTTGTCACGTAGTTATGAGCATTTCGACGAACCTTCGCATGCTGCTTTGACGAGAGATCAATGATTCCTTTATGTTGTGTCAGTTCAGCTTCCATCCCCGCACTAAAAATATTTTCAGGTTATATACACTCTATATCCAGGAGATGGGAGGGCGTGGTTACGTGCTGCGTTTGAACATCGCGTGCAAGGCGTTCTTCCCGTGATAATTCCATTAAGGACAACCGTCGTTTCGTCTTGCACTGGACAAAAGCATGATTACAACTGTTCCGGAACGGTAATATCTCGCGAAAAGTGTAGTCGCTCCCACGTTCATGTGAAGTGCACAGACACGCCCCCCCCCCCA